TTTAAACTATTGATTGTTCTCCCTCCCCCGGCCTCGCTCTTCCGTGCAGTGGACTATTTTTGGTTCAGTCCTTTCATGTCCCATTTTCTCTGACTAAATTACCCATCTTTTTCTCATTTAGATTTAACTGTATGCAGTAGCCAGTATCTCCCAGTTTATGCCATCTCTTGACTTCAGGGCAGGCCTCTTGTGGATTGTCTGTGGTTTCTCTGGAAAGCCTTGTGATCATTCAGCTTAAGACTTGAAGAGTTGAAGTGACACATCATCATCGTCTCTTAAAAGAGAAAATAACTTTTCTGATTATAAGGCAGACAGATATATGTACACACACACACACACATATACAAATATGCTTCATTTGCTCATAGTCTTTGAATAGATTGGCAGCTGAAAATAACATATATCCTGGCATAAAATAGCAAGTGAGTTAATTGCAAGTGAGTCCTCTTTGATGGGCTGGCAACCTTTGAAAGGCAGAAACTGATCCAGGGAATCGGATTGTAACTTTTCTATAGAGGATGTTATGAAGTGAGGTTCCCCACTTGAATGGGTTGGAAGATTTAGACGAGAAGATTAAGGGAGAGATAGAAGTGACCATTCACTCTTTCACGTTGTTGTTATGCGCTGTCCTTTCTGTTTTATGGCAGCCCTAAGAATGAGCTGGATAGCTCAGTGAGTTAGATTTTTGGCTTCAGAGCCAGAGGTTGAGAGCTCAATTCCCCACTGTGCATCTTAGAAGAGCCAGCCTGTGTAGCCTTGGGCAAGCTGCACAGTCCCAAGAAGGGAATGGTAAACCATATTTGTATTTGTGTACTTTCTACCTGGAAAATCCTGGAAAGGATTGCCGTAAGTCAGCATTGACCTGACAGCACATGATGATGATGATGATGATGATGATGATGATGATGATGATGATGATGAAGAAGAAGAAGAAGAAGAAGAAGAAGAAGAAGAAGAAGAATGATCGATTTCCAGTGTGCCCAATCATTAACAGCCCTGTTTAGGTCTTGCAACTTCTAGGCTGAGACTTCCTTTATGAAGTCTCTTCTTCGGTTTTTCCTTTTTTCCTACTGTCTACAGTTTCTCACCCCCAGCATTGTAGTGTTTTCCAATGAGAGTTTGGCTTCTCATATGCTGTTCGTAACTGTAGGAGTTGTTATTGTTCTTTGCTTTGCTTTGCACGCTTTATTATTATTATTATTATTTTGCACTGTCAGTCATAGGAAGAGATTTGGGGCCAGGGAGGATTTTATCTCATCTACCAAATTAACTGGAATGGCTTTTGAGTCTGACTGGTTGGGAGGGGTGGAAGAGTTCCATTTGGCACCTTGCCTCATCTGGTAAAATATTTTAGGTTGCTGCATTGTAGGGATAGGTTGTGTATGTATGTGTCGACAAAATGTTCATGACATGAGAAAACTACTGCTAACTGGGGCTGCTCACAGAGATCACACATTCCCCCTGTTACTGGCTGCCGATCCAGTGCTGGCTTTAACCTACAAAGCCCTAAATGGCTTGGGCCCAAGGGCTATGTCTCCCTTAATGACCCTGCCTGTGTGTTAAGAAAATCAAGGGAGGCCTTTCTCTTGGTCCCACCACCTTCACTAGTGCATTTGGTGGGGACCCACGAGAGGGCCGTCTCTGTGGCTGCCTCCCAGACTTTGGAACTCCCTCCCACTGGAGACCGGGCTGGCTCCATCTTCCTTCCACAAACAGGCAAATACCTTTCTCCTCAGGAAAGCTTTCCCTCAGTGACTTTCTCCCTGAGTGTTTTTTTTCCTCCTCTTTCAAATGTTTTCTAGTATTGCTTTTATTTACCATTTTTGATAATGTTTGTTTAATTCTTTTTAAATAGTTTTTTTATGTAGTGTTCTGGTTGTGTGTGTGTGTTTGTGTGTGTGTATGTGTATGTGTATGCATGCGTGTATGTATGTATCCTACCCATCTAACCAGCTATTTACTGTTTCTGTGGGCAGTTTGCAAGATATTGCAAGACATAAAAAGTCACACAACACTTTAAATGAGTTAAATAAATTTCTGATTATAAGGTAGACATTCATTCCTTCATTTAATTTGTATCCTGCTCCCTCCCATTGCTGTCCAAGCAGTATTCCAGTTGGGTTACAACTCATAAAATAGGAAAGAAAGATAAAAATAGAGATATTAAAACCCATGTAGATAGATTCTTTAAGGAGAAAGGCAGGATAAAAATGTTTTACACTGAGAGACAGACGATTTAGTCAGGTTACAGCCACCTTTTCCCGAGGGGCCATTTTGCTTCTCTGGTGAGCCAGGCGACCCTTTGGGGTTGGCACCGCCAGGCACCTTCCGGGGGGGGTGTGTGTCTGCCCAAGTCGAGGGCATCGTGCCAACCCCTGGAGCGGCTCTGAGCTGGTCCTCACCCCAGCGTGAGCCGGCGAAGAGAGCACCATGATGCCAGGAGGGTTCCCTTCCTCCAGGCTTCAGAAAATGGCCCCCGCCGAGGCTGAGAGGTGAAAGCCACAGCTGTGGGCGGTTAAGCCCCTTGGACTACAAGCCCCAGAATTCTGCGGCCCCTTCAAACCTCTCGCCTGGGGCTGTGAGGAAATTTTATTGTGTTTTGTTTTTTAAGCAGGGGGGGAGCCTTGGAAAACGGCCTCCCTTTCCATGACTGCAGTTTGGATGGAAATCCTCCATATTTTTTTCCCCTTTGCCGTTGGGAAGATGAGGCCCCAGTTTCCTTTTTCTGAGGAGCCGTGAGGGCTTTTTTTAAGGGGGTGAGTTGGGCAGACTTAATTTTCAGCTGCTTCCAAATGCCCTCAGGCCATTTCCAGAGACCTTGTTTGTGGTTGTTGTGGTTGTTGTTGTTGTTGTGGTTGTTGTTGTTGTTGTTGTTGTTGACCATTCTTTCTCCCTTCAGTCAGGCTGGGTTCATCCTGCCTTGTGTCTCCATTCATGAAGGGCAGGTTAAGCGGCGGCTTTTTATTATTATTTTCTTTTTTTACCTCAGAAACCCATGTTTTTTGTTTTTCGGTCTGAAGCTACTTTGCCATGTTTTGTGGCGTTTCTGTGAAGGCGGTTAAATAGGGCTGGCTCCACAGGTGTGTGAGCCTCGGTCAGGCAACCCACAGCGACAAACAATCACACACCACTACACAATCGCACACAGTGGGGCAGCTAGGCTGGCTTGCGGTGTGCTCTTCTTTCCAGGTCTGAAATTTATTTGTTTATTCGTCCATTCAGTTTTAAGTTACCCTGTAGCCAAAACTCCCAGGGTGGTGTAAATATATAAATACAAAGCAGATACAAACAACACACCCACCCATCCACAAATCCAGTTAAGTGCAACAACAACAACATGAAGAACCAACATTGACACTGTTTTTTAAAAAGGGCAAAGATTAAAATGTCTGCAACACTACATACTAAAAAGATAGAAAAACATCCCCATAAAAGTTTAAAAATGGCTCTGAAACAAATTTAGGAGACCTCTCACACTGTCATGTATAGGAAGTTAAAATGTCTGAGAGAGACAGAATAACATTTATTTGTATAGCCTTTTTTTTAAAAAAATAAACCCCTTTGTGTCTTTCTGGAGAGGATATTGCATGGAGTTTTATTGTTGATGTTCACTTTTAATTATGTTTATGGCATTATATGTTATTTATCCTTGCTGTACGTCATCCAGAGTGACCATTGGTCAGATGGGCAGTATAGAAATTGAATTAATTAATTAATTTGATGGAGGGGGTACCACTGAAAAGGCCTGCTTAGAAGTAACCATTAGCCAAATTTGCTGCCTGCTGTGGAACCCAAATTGTGTTTTCCCCCCACAACTAGAGACCTTCAGATAACTAGGGAGATCTTTTTTTTAATTTAATCTCGCCCACACAGCACCACCAAAAGTAAGTCACTGCATCCTTGCTGCATGGCACAATCAGCATTTTCACTCTTTTTCCACTTGTAGAATAATTATAATTAAAAAAATAAATTTAATTTTTAAAAACCTGTCAACAGAACCCCGTTGCTCTTAAGTGTAGCAGCATAACTCAAACAGTTTAATTTGCAGTGGTGAATTGCTAATTAATCTTATAATAATCTTAACCTTAGAACTGCAGAGCTGGAAGGAATCCTATGGATCCTTGTGTCCAATTAAAGAAATCAATTCTTGTGATTTGCATTTTGCATCACCCCTCCACCACCAAACATGCAAAGCATAGCTCAGAGCTATGAATGTTTTTTTCAGGATGGAGTTAAGTACTAAGAAAGCATTTTCACTGCCTCTCAGCATAGTTCAGTTCTGTGCAACACTCTCCCTCTCTGAAAAGCACACTTCTCAGTTGTATGCAGAATATTTCAAGTTTAAATTCCTTTAAATTCTTATCTCCAATCATTCCTTTAAATATTCTTATCTCCAATCCCCTCTATAATGGTGTAACATTTATCTTCCTCAGTTTAAATTTTATGTACATTGTCATTTATGGACTGATAGCAGAAGAGGTGTGTGACTCCGGGAGGTCACACCTGATCTTCACTTAAGTGCTTTTAAGTTGTCATAGGGCTTTGTACCTACAAGTGATTTACTAGTCCATCCTTCTGAGTCTGGTCTGGAACCATGAATCTTTCCCAGGGATACAGGTATATACTGGCGATATAACCCAGTAGTGACACATGTTCCATGTGCTGCCCCCTCGCTCTGGGGGGAACTGAACTCTCAGCCCCATGCTCTGTAAGGAATGCTCCAACCAAAACTACGTTGTTTTTACCACCTCGCTAAAAAGGTAGTTAAATATGCCACAGAAAAAGAGCTTGTTACTTTTTTCCTTTTTAGTGGTTACAACAGTTACTGCACCACTGGCTCACTTTGGACTCTGATCCTGTACTAATCCCTTGGAAATAGGATCTGACCTTTATAATGGTGTATAATTTATACTTCCTCCTCTGGCTCAGTTTAACCTTTGTGTACCATGTCAGTTATGGACTATGCTTGACCGTTGGTACTTTAATTTGTTCTCTTTCAGGGGTGCTCGTGGGTTCACGGAATTCTGTGTTTCTAGCAGCAGAAGTCTATCAGCCATCCAACTGTGGTAAGAGTCATTATTGCTTTCCACAAACAGGGATCTTCCCTCTCCCTGCTTGCAAAAGGGGTGTAAAGAGGGCTAATGTAAAAGTCTGACCCATTAGACATTTGCAAGCTTCTTGACCTTTGCTGTTCCTGCACCTCTTAACAATCCTGTTCTTTTTGACCAGAAGTCTTTTAACTGGAGACTTAAGTTCAGCTTCTGGAAATTACTTCCAGTAACCTCTTTCTGGCCACATAATTAGTTCAGAGTAGGATAGAGTTGCAGGCATGAAGCTATGAATCACCTTGTTAGGGCTTTAGAAAAGGGCCATGATTAAAGCAAATTTCTGGCTCACAAAGCCAGTGCTTGAGATATTGGACAGCCGTTGCTGGGCAGAATCGTGGCAGCTCAGTTGGATGACAATGACAACGATCATAATGATTCAAAAACAGCAGGCACAGTCAATCAAAATGATAAAAACATGGACTGGTATTATATAACAGATAAAAATTTTAACCAAAAGCGTATCTGTTAAATATTGGCACAGTATGTATGCTGTTCCTAATATTGCCATTTTGCGTAGCTCTGATGGTGCTATTTCTGAGATTTGCAACTGCTTTACTACTATTACTATCACTATTACTATTACTACTATTACTATCACTATTGCTATTATTACTACTTCTTCTACTACTACTACTACTACTACTACTTAATTCGACTTCTATGCCACCAGTTGTGCTTTTAATCATGCACAGTTTGCTCAAAGTTAAGAATTCTACCACCAGCTTCCCCAGAAATGTACACCACGGTGTTGGTAAAACGTAATGTTAAAAAGCATGCTTGAGCTTTGAAAGATTTTAAGGATATGGAATTCTAAGGGTCTTTGGAGGGCTATACCTCAATGATCAGAATACATAGGTTGTTTGGTACAAAATGGGCACATAAAAGCTCAAAAAACAAACAAACAAACAACCCCAATGTCACTGGGAGGCAGTGTGAATGATATTGAACTGGATATATTAGTAGTGTGACACCTTCTATAACTGAGCTGAGAATTAAACAGGACCATAGCTTGTTGCTCTTTAACCGACATATACATTTGCAGTGTTTTCAACCAGTTAAAGCTTTGTGACTAGCACTGCAGGCGGATCCACGTAAAGTTGAGAGCTATAGTGGGAAAGTGAGACTTAGGGAGATTCAAGTTCCCATTGAGTCAAGCAGCTCCGTGGATGCCCTTGTGCCAGTTGCTTTTTCTCTTCTTGACCTACTTCATGGGTCTGTTATGAAGTCAGTGAAGGAGAAAAGAGAAATGGCCAGCTAAGTACCTTGGAGCGAATATGAACTGTAAATGAAACTAATAAACAAAATGGAAGAGATGATTGTCATCATGGAATCATTGAGATGGGTGGGATTTCCAGATACAAGTGAATAAGGATTGTAGCCTAAGATGTTACCATTGCAGCACAAGGCATTATGAGGAGTGCTAGGTACTTACAAGGATGATCGGTGATTTCTCACATGATACACAGTTCTCAGACTCTTGTGAGAAGCACTCTGTAGACAATGCTTGCTGCTCTGGCTTTTGATTTGAGCTGGTCTCGGAAGCTGACAAAATCAACATGGTCCTATCACTATTATCTTTCCATCAGTTAGGACTCTCGACACCAAATGCATGCACTGTTATCTATAATGTTCATTTGGGATACAGTGCCATACCGTGTTGTGTCAATGGAGTCATCTCAATGAATAAAAGGTAAAAAATATAGCTCTGCCTCCAATTGAAAAGTCAGGAGCACAAATAAATTAATGTTCAGTGTAATGCTTCTGAAGTGGCGTTGTCTTGGCAACATATGCTCTTTGTCTCTTATCATAGAAAAATATTGTGGATACAAAATTTATATATGACCATATATATTTATATATGGGCAAATGGGGTGGGGGTGGCTATAGGGGAAGTAAGCTAATGGCTGGAAATGTCTTACTCTTCACTGGCAAAATCTTTAGGTTTTGCAAGGATGATTAGTCCACTCAGAGTTTTGAAAGGATCTGTCCAAGGTTCTGCAAGGGATAGAGTTGTATAGCTTCTTGTGTTGTTCGTATTAAAACCTGAAGTGAATCAGCAGCATCCACTCGGACGGGGCCCTATGCAACAGTGAGTCTTAACAGTGTAGGCATATATTTTGGCTTAATTTTTCATCTGTTGTGATCTCATTCCTCACACATTCCATGAAAGTGTTTTGTTCCCTTTATTTCACACGCCTCAGACTGAGGGCTGATGCTTATGTAACCAAAAAGGTATAAGCGGGGGGGTGTATGACTGTTGTGAGCCTGTGGAAAACCAGATTGGGTGAACAGAATGGAATGTCATGGGGGGGTCGTGGTGGGCTAGCTGGCATGGTAAGCAGGAGCACACCATAGTGGCACCACTATCCATAAGCGGGGGGTGTATGACTGTTGTGAGCCTGTGGAAAACCAGATTGGGTGAACAGAATGGAATGTCATGGGGGGGTCGTGGTGGGCTAGCTGGCATGGTAAGCAGGAGCACACCATAGTGCCACATTTTTGTAGGCACACACACAGACACACACACACAATTCCTGATGTTTCCCTTTCTTCCTCCCCCCATTGTTTGCCCCCCATCTTCTTGAAATGTGTTCTACTATGTAAAAACCGTTTTTATATATATACTTACTGTGTATTTTATGCTGTAAGCCGCCTAGAGTGGTCTTAACTGACCAGATAGGCGGGATATAAATTGAATGAATGAATGAATGAATGAATGAATGAATGAATGAGTCAATTCTAACGTATGGCAACCCTTTTTCCAGATAATGAATACTCAGAAGTGGTTTACCACGCCCTTCTTCTGAGAGAAAGAAGCAACCATAAAGGAAAAAAAGGAATAGGTTATTGGGCTCAGACACCAGAACTTTGTGCCTGGCCATGCTGGCATTCCTTGATGTCATCCCTAGGTTGCATTGAAATCCAAAAAAAATATGAGGCGCTGATGTGTGCTTTGTCTCTAAACGAGAAATGAATCGAGTAGAGCCTTCCAGATACTGTTGTACTGTTAATGCCAAACCTGTGTTGGTTATACATCCCCCAATGTCATCCTTAGGTTGCATTGAAATCCAAAAAAAATGAGGCGCTGATGTGTGCCTTGTCTCTAAACAAGAAGTGAATCGAGTAGAGCCTTCCAGATACTGTCATACTGTTAATGCCAAACCTGTGTTGGTTATGGCAGCTAGCTATTTCAGTCCAGAAGTCTTGGGAGGACTGTACTTTGCCTACCTCTGGTATAAGTAATATTGAAACATAGGTCTGTTTTTATAACAGCCTTTGAAGAAACACCCAGAAGCTTCTGTGGCTCCTTGCCAAGCTTCTTGAACATGGACAGCTGTTTTGGGTGTCCTTTCCCCCCCTCGTTATTAAATCACCTGTACCAGTCCCTGGTGTGAGGTGAGTTTTTCCAAAGGAAAAAGGCTGACTTCATTAAAAAAAAAATCAAGACTTCAGGATGTCTCAGGGGCACAAGACTTTAAGCTGATTCTACAATGTTGTTTTGGGCAACTGCCATCTACATGGGTACCACTCAATTATTCATTTTTCAAGAATGCATTATTTATTTACTTGAGTAGCACCAGGGAGCCAGATCTGAAGCTTATAGGCTCCCGGTTAATATTCAGGGGTGCCTGTCTAAAGCTTGGGGGGAAGGATGTTTTGACATGGTGAGAAAAACCTGCTCAACATCATAAGCTTGCAAAGTGATTGACACGTTTAAGGGTGGAACAGTGGCTGACTCATTTTCCTCATACTGTTCCATGAGTGTTCCTCTTCTTGTGCCATCATTTTCTATATGTAAATAGTCTATTAGGAGCTGATGTCAAAAGAAAAGGGAGAGGAGAAGAAAAGAGCAAGCTAAATATTTCAGCATTTTAAAGGGTGAACTTTCATGGATCACAAATTGAAGTGCAAATGTATGACTGGTATATTTTCACGTATCCTCATGAGAATACTGATAGTAGACAGTAGTTCGTTAATACTGTACTGTTGTGAGACTGTCAAGCAATGAAGCACTTGGCTAGGGCAATAGCTACAGGCCAGGTCAACTTGGCTATCATAAAGATGCTAAGAAATGTCACTGAGAGATCAGAGTTTGTCAAGGGACACAATGGTTGGTAGACATGGAATATTACAGAAAGTCTGGTTTTATATATATATTTGTCAAGGGACACAATGGTTGGTAGACATGGGATATTACAGAAAGTCTGGTTGTTTATATATATAAACCTTGATCTTTGTTGAGGCCCTTGGAGATGCACTGGAACTTAGTTATGTAGCCAATTTCTGCCAGAGTCCTTTCTTTGTAATTCTTTTTTTTCTACAATACTAGGGATTAGGCACTTCGAACTAATGGGCAGAGACTATAAGGAACCATTGGTGGCAAGGTAAAGTCGATGAAGCTGCTACAGCTTATTTTTATGTATCCTGATATCATATTAAGAATGTAGCTGTGAAGCCAGTGAATTTATAGTTTATGATAGAAAGTAGAAGTTGGCATCATGGAGCCTCGGGGCCATATCTGGGCTCTTAAAGAAACCCTACGTACTACGTAATTAACAACTAAAGTCAGTCATGGAGGAATGGCTTGATAACTGATATGGAAGTGGTCTTATAGAGGGAAGGGAAGGATTGTGTGTGTGCAGGGAAGGATGCAACAACATTGACTAAAGAAGACCCTGTGTATTCGTGAAGGCTTTCACGGCCGGGATCTAATGGTTGTTGTGGGTTTTTTGGGCTCTTTGGCCGTGTCCTGAAGTTTGTTTTTCCTAACACTGTGACAGAAAATCTCTCTTCCTTATCACAACAATACACCCACAACAAAAACACACTGATCACCATAATCACCCATTTCGTGAAAAGGACCAAGCTGATCTCACAGCCCTGAATACTCAACTCCCAAACAAACTGCACCAGAGCATAGAGTGCTGTCCTCTGAAGATGCCGGCCACAGAGACTGG